TTAAAGTAAGTAATTATTTTTGAGATAATGTAATTTTTACAGAACTTTTTTTAAGTTATTAAATTTGTTAAAATGTATGGGTTAGGGTTTAGGACAGCCACCTCCCAGTACAAAGTACCCTATGATATTGCGTATTTTTGAGTATTTAATATATTTGAGTATTTAAAAAAAATTCTGTGACCAAGAACTTTCTTTGTTATCTGCAATGAGATTTGACTTTACACTAGATGTTGGAACGTTGCTGTGAGGAGTGGATTGCATTCAGCCACAAGAACATTAGTGCTGATGTTGGATAATTAGCTCTAAACCTTAAACATCACTCCAATTTAATGTTGGTTGCACAAGGGCTTTTTACCCCTCCAGCCAATGCTTGGTATTGGGCATGGCTCAATTCACAGCTGCTCCAGAGCATCCCATTCGATTGCCAGTGCTTTTCTCTGTCTGTGTCAGCAGTGGGTGCACTTTGAAGTACCTAGAACCCTGTCTCTTATAACACTGCGCAAGCTGGAGTGTGACCTTTAAGTTTACAGTGCACAGCCTCAGCTCAGATGCGTGTCCGTGTGAGTGAGTGAGTGAGTGCAGATAGCCACTGAAGCTCATTTGTATTCTGCCCTTGTGTCAGAACATCAGGACCCAATTTTCCCCCTTCACACCTCCATGAACTAATGACACCGGCCCGCACGGCTGTCGCTCCCCTGACTGTCCCACACACACACATACACTCTCTCTCTCTCTCTCTCTTTTAGCTCCATTCTGCATCATTACAGATAGTTTCATTAACTGAATGGATGCCTCATTTATATGGAGTTAAATGCAGTTACATAACATTGAAGGACTGAAGGAGGCGATCATTACTGTGCCCGAGGCAGTAGTCTCTGAAATAAAAGGCCCATATAGTGGAAAACTGAAATTTCCTCATTTTTTTTAAGGACCCATATCCTACATTTTTCTGTTATTTTGTTTTTTTGTCCCCCGAGTGCCATTTATGATGTTTGTGTGGTTTTATGTATTAAAAACTGTCACAATTCATTTTTACATTCCCATTTTCCAACCCCTCTTTATCCCTTTGGATTAAAACAGCTGTTTTGTTACTGTGCCTTTAAGGCTGGTATGTGTAAATGAGCTCTGTTCTGATTGGCTGCCCTGTTTTGTGAATCTCATTCAAACCACAGTCCAGGCTGAAACATTCCTTATAATGTCAGTGCGAAGGGGCAGGGCTAATGTGCTACAGGCCAAATAAATGGATATATGGAAATGCATTGTTTTTCATGACATCACAAAAACCAATGACCAGCTATTTTGGCAGCTCAGTTTTGAAATTTTAACAAGGTTTACGTACTACATTAAGCAAATTAATTTAAAAAAGTTTGGAAAATTCAGTTTCCCACCCCTTTAAATAAATGAGTTTGATGTAAAAATGTAAAATCCAAAGTTTCAAAAACGTACCGTCCATACACTCCATATATGGCAGCTAAGCTGCAAAATAGCCCATTTTCTAGCTTTTGTGATGTTCCCCATTCAAACTGAAGTTAAAAGAAATGTTTCAGCACCGACTACTTTTTGAGTGAGACACAAAAACTGGGCAGCCAATCAGAACAGAGATCATTTATGTATATCAGTCTTATAAAACAGGCTGTTCAGTTATAAGGGATAAATAGAAGTTTGAAAATGGTCATGTAAAAATGAACTGTGCACTGTTTTTATTGTGTAACACCACACATATGTCATTAGTGGACCTCAGGAGGGAAATTAATACAAGAAAAATGTAGACTATGGGCCCTTTAATGTCGATGTCTAAACACTAGCAGGGACAAAGACCAATCCTTAAAACACACACACACACACACACACTCACTGACAGACCGATGAAATCTGACTGATCAATTTCAGTTTTATTCACATGCAAGGTTGATTGGGAGTCTTTTCACCAGCCATATTTCCAGGAGAGTTTAAATTCTTGCAGTTCACTAGTTCCTTGAAACAGAATGTGGCTGCATTATGAGAACTCAACCTGAGGTACACAGAGTCCATAATATATTCAAAAGGCTTAAAATCCACCCTCAATAGCTACCAGGTATATTCTCAAAAAAACTATCCCTTATGCCACATTCAGCCGAGTTCGTGAATAACACTAGTAGCTCCATTTCTGAATACTGAATAATTCCTCTGTCAAACACATATACAGTTAGGGGCACTATGCATAATGCATAAGCTTTTGTTTTTGTCTTCCAGATTTCCTATTATTGGCATTCAATCAGTTATCCCAGGGGTTCCCAAACAAGCTCATGCCAGGGCCCACACATAGAGGTAACAGTTGTCCCAAGACCCATCAGATGTTTAGTGATCCTAGGCTTTCAGTCCATGTTTACTCTATTACTGTTGTTTTATCAACAAACATCAATAGCATTCAATGATGAAAGAATGAAACATGCATTAGCTTCAATGTTATATACGTAGTGAGAAACAGCACCCATTTTATATTTAGTTGTAATATAGGTAGCGCCTTCTTTGCACTACTGCTTGTAGATCCAAGATCTTCTAGAAGTCTTAAATTAGTGGTCTTCAATCTTATCTGCCAAAGATTGGGTGGCTGCAGGTTTTCTTTCTAACCAAATGGAAGCAGACATGATAAACTGGAGACCAATTAATAATAGAACAAAAAAAAAATCCCTAAAATAGTAATTTTATGGAAGGCAGAAGGCTTTAACTTTCAATGTACACTATATTGCCTAAAGTATTCGCTCGTCTGCCTTCACACGCATATGAACTTGAGTGACATCCCATTCTTAATCCATAGGGTTGAATATGATGTCGACCCACCCTTTGCAGCTATAACAGCTTCAACTCTTCTGGGAAGGCTTTCCACAAGGGTTAGGAGTGTGTTTATGGGAAATTTTGACCATTCTTCCAGAAGCGCATTTGTGAGGTCAGACACTGATGTTGGATGAGAAGGCTTGGCTCGCAGTCTCCACTCTAATTCATCCCAAGTGTTCTATGGGGTTGAGGTCAGGACTCAAGTTCTTCCACACCAAACTCGCTCATCCATGTCTTTATGGACCTTGCTTTGTGCACTGGTGCTGTCATGTTGGAACAGGACGGAGCCAAACTCCCCAAACTGTTCCCACAAAGTTGGGAGCATGAAATTGTCCAAAATCTCTTGGTCTGCTGAAGCATTAAGAGTTCCTTTCACTGGAACTAAGGGGCCGAGCCCAACTCCTGAAAAACAACCCCACACCATAATCCCCCCTCCACCAAACTTTACACTTGGCACAATGCAGTCAGACAAGTACCTGGCAACCGCCAAACCCAGACTCGTCCATCGGATTTCCATACGGAGGAGCGTGATTCATCACTCCAGAGAACACGTCTCCACTGCTCCAGAGTCCAGTGGTGGCGCTTTACACCACTGCATTCGCCGCTTTGCATTGCGCTTGGTGATGTAAGACTTGGATGCAGCTGCTCGGCCATGGAAACCCATTCCATGAAGCTCTCTACGCTGTTCTTGAGCTAATCTGAAGGCCACATGAAGTCTGGAGGTCTGTAGTGATTGACTCTGCAGAAAGTTGGTGACTGCTTGGAATTAAAACCTTCGGCAACATCGGTCCTTTGTGGATAGGTTTGAAGACCCCAGCTTTTAAGTTATCCAGCTCACTGCTTTCTGAAATACACCACTGGTAAGTGCAGACATCATGTTTTTTTTTGTTTTTTTTTAAAACATATCCACAGTTACACCAACTGACAAAATAAGATCTACAGTGACAGCTGTAGACTGTGGACTCTTTCAGTGCTTAAGATAACTCATTCTGTTCCTATCAGAAAAACTTATGTACAGCACCAAAAAAGCAGCCTTGAACAGCAACATTTGGAAACCATTATCTTTTATTACTGTTATGCACATTACAAAAAGGGGTATTTCTTCCAATGTTTTAGTGTTAAATATGTGGATACCAACTTCCTTTACCAGACATACAATAACCATCTACTTCAATACAAAGAAAAAAAAAATATGGAAAAATAAAATCAAGTCACCTTGGCAAATAGAGTGTGTCCAACTAAATCAGCTTTAGTACTAACGCTCTCCAACAAGGTATGACAGTACAGTGAATACACTGGCATTCCTTCAGAGCAGTTTGGTCAGTTGTGGGATGTGCTTAGACAGCTATTATTATTATAAAAAATAAAAAAAAGATAATGTGACAATCCACCGCAGTTAATTAAGGCCTGGGTGGAAGTTACACACCACTGACAGTGAGACTGCAGAATGGAGATGTGTGAATAAAGTAGTTAGCATCTATGTCTGAAAGATTTGTATTGGCACATGTGATTTGCTAATGAATGAGAGTTTTGGAGCTCTGCACGTTCAGACGCACCGGTAACACAACTACTTCACGGAGAAAAACAGATAAAAATGCACTATGCGCACAAAATGAACGCCAAGATGACCAAGGGTGAACTCAACACAGCACAGGCACTTGAGTTTCCCCTACGAGTGATCAGTGTTTTATACCACTTGTACAACCTCTCCCAGCCTTCCAATCTCTTATTAGGCAGAAAAATAGCCAGCTAACTAGCACATCAAGGTCCCCAATACACTCTCCCACTCACAAATGCTTGTAAACAGTGTTTCATCATCGCTTTTATTGTACAGCCCAATACTAACGAATTGTTTGATCAAGATAATATAAAACATTAACTGGGACCAGCTACATACTGTTCTGCAGTTTTACAAGACAAAGGCCTAGGACTGCAGATTAGACTAATGGAGTGTTTCCAGAGGCAAAAGAATGGACAAATTCTTTACAGAGACTGTTTTGGTCAGAGGATTTGTAAGACTTTGCAATTTAGGCCACAACGCTAAACAGCTAAACACTAGACTTACACACTTGAAGTTGGGGATACATAATCTTTGATTTATGATGTAAAATGTGATGATGTTATTACTGTTAATTTTATGATGTAAAAGACGTAAGCAGGTTAGCGCCCTTCCAAAGGCTTAAAAAAAAATAAATAAACAAAAAAACGGCCCAAAAATAAGGCCATCAGTGAGGCTGGCTGTAAAGAAATTGGTGCATCCATAGTAAACATCATTTAGCCCTCTTTAAAAGGATTACCTTGTCAACAAACTTTTAGTCAGTCTTTAAATCCATCAGTCATTAGATATTAAAATGGAAAGGGAGGAAACCTACGAATGTGAAACTTGTTCAGTTGCATCTGAATAGGAAATACACTGAACCTCTTGTGCTTTTCAAATCCAACTGGAACAAAACTTGGAACTCCAACTCGCTTACAAAAAACACAACTATATTCAAGTCTTACGTACTGTTCTTTCAAACAACAATGAACGACATGAATGTTATGACACTGAACCAGCCCCATTTTGGAATTGCTAATAAATGTTCATTACAACACTTAGCAACCAGTCTATTGGCCTTCTCCTCTTCTGGGCAATCACACAATACTATGACACTGCACAGTTTGCCTCTGCTTTCTTTTGTGCATGCGCTTAGGACAAACCAGTATTTCAGACTTCAGATTTTGTCTGGAGATGCTCAAAAGTGAGAAGTTGGAAGGTCAACTGCACCATTATTTGGGTGTAGTGCAATGTATTAAAACAGACCTTAAAAGCAGATCACAGAACACAACTAGTCACAAGTAAAATGTGTGATTACAAGCATAAATGTCATTGTAAAGTACCGGGGTTTAAAATCTGTGTGCTCTCATGGTTATGTTCAGTTGTCAGTGAGACGACTCTCGTATAATAAACAAAAGGGAGGCAGCAGCTACTTTCAGAACAATACAGGAATTTCATTAGTACAATTTTGAGCGATACATTTATGCCACCAC